TTGAAACATTTCAGGCCGACTCCGGAGGAGACTTATCGGCACAACGTTAAAGTCACAATTTGCATTCCGATGGGTGGTAGCCTCCGTCGTCTCCTATGGTATTGCTCGGTTGGGAGTGTACACACACACACACACACACGTACATACATACACGAATCCATGCCGCATCGAGAGGAGTCAGCTGAGAAGATGAGACGGTCACGTAAGTCGCGCGTGTACTTGCTAGAGATCGTGTAGGAATATGGTGTGTACGTACACGTGTACGTGTGTTCGTGTATTACGCGCAGTATCGGGTTAACGAAGCGACGACGATTATTACGCGAGAGTCGCGGTTTTGCCGTCTCGCGGCTTGCATTTCGAAAAATCGAGAACAAATGAAGGATCGAGCGCAACAAGAAGGAAGATTATCACGTTTCGACAGAAATTCAGTTGGTAAAGTGACACAAGATGACTGATTTTTATTATCAAAAAAAAAAAAAGAAACAAATGTAATCTGTCTTGAAAATTTGGCGCCAAAAACTTTCGAGAATATCTTCTGATTGATTTAATCTAGTCTTTTAAAATAGAGTAGAAAAAAAGAAAAAGATTACGCGTAACTACCGTCGCAACGACAAAGATATCATTGGAGATAAGTTCAAGATACTAAAACCTCAAGCGAGATACACAGGTATTCGCGCGGAAATGCAGAAAACTGTTTTTTTTCTTTTTTTTTTTTTAAATTACTGACTGTACAATGTCACGTCAACTGAAGAAAATAAGTAGTAATGACAATTTGAATTAATTAAACAAAGGTAACTGTAAGATACGTGACGGACATGTGTAGATGTTTGCTTCCTGCTACGATGATGGAGAGCCATCGATACGCGTTATTAATAATACCGCGCGCGAGTAGATTGCCTTGTTTTGTGGCAGTATTTCAAGGCGTTTCATTTCTTGTGTACGGAGAATGTAAATTTATCTAACTAAGGGAAGAGCAATATAATATCCATCGGCGCTATTCCGACGCTAATCATTAGATTGTCCGTGGACAAACGAGATGACGACGCGTGTTCTCATCGCCGGCGGTGCGCGCGCGAAAAAAAAAAACGAACGTTCCGGGATCTCGGGTTCCGATCGAAGTACGCCCCTGTCCGATCGTGTGCAGGCGTATTACATGTAATTCAAAACCGCAGGCGTGACGTAGCAGGCCCACCAGAGGCCGCGTTACATGCCGCGGTGTCATAATGCGCGCGCGTCCTTTGAAGCCGCGCTTCTCTCGCGCGCGGAGAATTGCGCAATCGCATTTAATAACGCAAGCAGAGTTGTCCCGTCGCGAGAGAATCTCTTCGTCACAGCGTCGCAAACACTTATGACACTTTAACGGATTTTCACGGCATCGAATAAATTCGTACCACCAATTTGCGCACGAGAAAAAGAAACACACACACGTTTGTGCAAAAATAAGCTGCATCTCGCGCACTTAATCCGACGAGAGATTTTCTCTTTTCGCTCATTTGCCTGGATATTCTTTAACGATTATTATTTTTTTCTTGTTTTTTTTTTATATATCTTTCTGTAATAATACAAGACTAATACCGCTGGACGTGCGAGACGACATCTCGCATTGCACATCGATTACGTTCGTAACCGGTGACTCCTGCGGCGCATCTCTAGCTCCTAATATCGTTGCGCAATTTTCTGAGAGCGCTACGTGTGTGTGTGCGTGTGTGTGTGTGCGCGCGCGCGCGCGCTATTCTTGCAATTACCGCTTAGACATCGGTTTCGATCGCTAAAAACATTTTTACGACTGCAAAAACCACATTACCACTTCTCGCCTCACGCGTAAAGGTGGAAGTCGCGGGAAGTCTGCGCCAGTAATTTCACCTATTGGCCAATTCGTTAATTTCACCTGCTTAGCCAGACACGCATGTCGGCCGAGCGCGCGAATCCTCCTCCCACAGCTATTTGTACGGCAATTCATATGCTAATTTACGGCTTGCGATGCCGCTGTTCCAAGACTTTTTAATAGAGACAAAAGCACAACACGATCAATGGTAAAAATAGTTTACGCAAATATTTAGCACAATATTTACATAAGATTAGAATTTGCGAAATAAAGCTAATTTGTCAGTCGAAATGAAATAACGTGTACGAGATGTAATTCGATCGTATATCACGTAATAATTTATTCTTGTACGTTCTAGTGGGAAATTCAATGCGCGTGAAAGCAATCTCTCTTACATTCTGCCGAGTTATCATAAATTATCACCCCTCTTTCTCGGATTATTTGATTTATTTGATCGTTCGAATAGGCGTTTAATAAATGTCCTTCGAATTATCCTGGTGACGTCGATGAAACCGATGGCAATATTATCGCACACCTGCTCGCAAGAGGGTTAAATCGACGTGGACTTCACGAAGACTACGATGAGTACGTCAAGATATTATTGAGATAACAACCGTGTAAGCCACGTTTTATCTGCGCGACGAGATTGTGTGCGTGTGTGAGTGTGCGTGTGTGTGTGTGGTGATCGAAAAGCGAGAAAAGATACGACCACGCTCGTGTAAAGTGCTTTTAATAACTGGTTTGCAATATCCTGCTTTGCCACAGCTTCAACGTATAAATATCTGATGCACTTTGCTTAAGCGAATTATGTATTTTGTTTTCCTCCTTTCTAACACCTGCGATTCGACTTGGTGCTATTCCCGTCATTTATTATGTGTCTTTCTCTCGCTCTCGTAATTGATCTGACGTTTTGTCCGAAACTTCAATTAATTTAAGTATCATGTTTGATAAACGAGAGAGGAAATATTATACAAGAAACACAGCGAGGAAAATTGTTATTTACGAAAATTATTCAGTATTTATCATGAAGAAGCTTTGCTTGTAAACATTTCGCGTATGTGTTATATCTTTTCTTATTTTTCTATCTACGAGGCTCAAACAATTTTATCTCCCGCATCGCCAAGCTTATCTAATTTACATGCATCGTCGATTAAAAAAAAAAAAAAAAGAAGAAAAAAAAATTAAGCAACGAGCTCATGCTTGTAAATCATCATGCGATAGTCGATTGTTGTACGTCCGATTATCATTCTCGAGATTGTAGATACGCTCCAGCGGCGCATTACATAAACGTAATTGTCAATTATTGCAGATCAAGTTGTACAAGCGCGCGAATGAAGATACAACAAAGTGATATTTCTCATCTTCTTCTCCCTCGACATTGCCGACTCGCCGGCAATTATCTAATAAATAATACCGACCCGGCTCGCCACGTGCACTCGTTAGTAAACTTGACCCTGCACAGTTATTCTCTCCTCGTATCTGCATCAAATTAAAACGACTAATTGTTTACGGAAATTGTTTACCGCCGGTGAGGCGGACGTGCGCGTTTGTAGAATTTCAACCGAACGAATAATTGCGGATACATATATAATTTCTGTATATTTACTTTAGCAACGGCGGCGGCGGCACGTGAACTAAATTTCAGAAAATGAAATAACGAATCTGACGCGCGAAATCTGACGTGATAAATATTTCATCGCCGTTTCTGGTACACTACTGAAAATCAATATTGAACATATAATACTCAGTATTTAAATAAATTTCACTGTTCTTCTGCGTATAATATATTATCGCAAATTAATTAATGCGTGACGCGCGCGATCATCAAAATTGGGATTAAAATTTGCAACCGTTTAAAAGGAGGCTGTCTCTCTTTAGTATCAAACGCACAAATAACGCAATTTGAAACAAAATCAAAAAATTACAAAGAAACAAATCTTTAAGTAAGATTCTTTTCTGTTCGCGCGCGCGCAAAAAAAAAGAAAAGAAATTGGGTTAATTAGCGAGCAAGGCGCGGAGCAATATGCAATTGTAACATGTGAAAAAATATCGCGAAATCTTTGTTCAGCTGGAAGGCTGCACGACGTAAAGATGGGTCAACCTTTCGCCTTGCGATTATGTAAGACCTCGGACTGACTGACCTTTAGGTTCGTTCATGGCATGCGGCATTTACGTAATTTACCGATTACGATGTATTAGAATCTTCTTCTGCACCCAGCGAACAGTTCTCCCTCTAATATAATTTTCAAATGCTCGCTAAATGTGCACCAATTCATAATTTTATATATAACCAATGTTGTTTTTTCGAGAAACACAATATATTTTAATTATAAAACGTTATTAAAAACAACACACACACACACGCGCGCGCGCGCGCATATACACGCGCAATTATACTCTGAATATTTTTCATAAAAAGCTTTTCAATAAATTTAATATTAACGCTTAATTGTTTTCGATAATATCAGAAAATATATCGCAAACAAAACTTTGCAATAATTATTATATGTAATCATATATGGCGCGCTGCAATATTTATTCTATACTTACTTTACGATAGGAAGATGTGTTCTAATCAAGATAAAGTTGTGATATTAAAGAGATATATACCGATAATTGATTTCGAGATAAAACACGCTAAAAAGAGCGCGAATTTAAAAAATGTAGTATCTATAGAGACGTATACGTGCACACGTTTTCTTCTGGCTTGCAGCGCCCCTCGTGGCGATAAATAACATTATCGACATATAAACCGAGCGTTACTATAGTCCGCACTTACCGACGGGTGTAATCACTTCGCGTGTCCACGCACGTGTGCGACCGCATTGTTTTGCGCGCGCTTTGCACTTACTATCGATTGTTATTTCACGAGTTTTGTGTGCGTAACACGTGACAACAATCATTTTTTGTGCGAGTAACACACATTGTGCAGAATGTTAGAACCGACTATTCGTGCTCTATCAAGTGGCAGAGTAGTTTTAGCCAGCGGTTCTGCGAGCCGGGCTGATATGCTAAAACACAACTTGGTAAAGACTCAAGAACGTTTTAAATATTGTATTATTGTGTTATATATATATATATATATATCGTACCGAAATATAGAAAGTATCAAATTATACATTATTTTGTTGTATAAATATTTAGATAATTAACATTGATCAAATATATTCATCAGGGTCTAAACGTCGAGATAATACCGTCTCTGTACGATGAGAATCTTGATAGATCCAAATACAACAATCATGGAGAATATGTTCAGGATATAGCGAAATACAAGGTGTATGATGTGCATGAGCGTTTAAAAGACGATCCGGTACCGCCGTTGTTGATAATAGGAGCAGACACAATGGCGACATTGGGTGATAATGTTTATGGCAAACCAAAGAATGAAGCAGAGGCTTATCAAATGTTGTCAAGGTACATACATGATATGGATATCTGTAAACTAGATATGATATTGAGTGTTGTTTAAGCAAAAAAGGCATACTTTTTTCTTAGCTTAGTAAACAAGGAACATGTGAGTTATACCGGTGTATGTTTAAAAACCCCAAAGACCGAAGTACAGTTTTACGAAGCTACCAAAGTGAAGATTGGAGATGTATCAGAGGCGCAAATAAGACAGTACATAAAAACAGGGGATCCTTTGTGAGTGACTGCGATTGGCGCGGCGATTTTTATCTGTCTCCGTCTCAGTAAGTAGAATATTAGTTGAGAGTAAAATTATCCCTATTTCACAGGACTAAAGCAGGAGGCTACGGTATTCAAGGTATGGGAGGTTGTCTGATTGAAAAAATAGATGGTGATTTTTACACGGTAACAGGTTTGCCAGTGTATTCACTGACCAAACATTTAAACCAAATATTTTCCAATGCTTAGACATTTTTTTTGTTTGTGTTTGTGTAAACAAAAAAGTACTTGAATATCAAGAAATACAAGTACTTTATTTTGGCCATACGCTGGGTGTATGTGCGACATATGTATTGTTTTATATTCCTTTTTTTTTTTTTTACACGTATATTTTTGTAGATTGTTACACAAAAAATTTGAACTGAAAAAAGTGCTCGTCCACGAGCACAACTATACTCACTCTGTGAGCACAATTGTTTGTGTACAACTATCATTACCTCATAAATAAATCTTATTATGCTAAAGGCTCTGTATAAATTTACGAATTTCCCCATTTATGTATTTAATAATCCGACATAATGGACGTATTTAAGCGCGTGTTAATATTGATATCGCATTCATTAACATTCATGATCGTATCGCGACGCTGTCACAGACACAAAGCGGATCGCTCATCGAGATCACGATTGAATTATCGAATGTAAATTACATTTTCGCTCGTGAGAATTTTCTCCATTCATATCTCTCATTGTGACAATATATATGCATAAGTAATTGTTCGTGCAAATAAATAAAAATTTTATACGGTGTAAAAAAAAAAGAGATTAAAATATATAATTTATTATAGCGCCATCTACGAAATACAATAGTGTCGAGACAGCAGACGTTTTTTTCTGAATGTGTGTGGTATCGTTTGTAACACTGTATAATAACGCGCACGTTAAATCTTCGTACATCCATGATATGTATACGTAAACGTTATTTCACATACACACACACAGCTCTTGACTGTTGGCAATAGTGTTACACATTACACACAGTGCACATCGTCATAATTCCCCGAAGTGTTACGTGCGCTTTACGTGAAGATGGAGGATATTTTAAGTGAGGTTGTTTCGGCCGAGGATTTAAAGGTAAAATACGTTCGCGAGTAACAAAGATACATGACGTTATTAATATAACCACTTCGATATGTTGTTATACGATTGCGTTATTGCAAACTCCAAGCGAAAAGCAATAATAACAATGCGAGAAATAAAGTTAGGTTAGGTTAGGTCTTTAATAGTAAAAATCATGGTTTTGTTTATATAGAATATTAATTTTATTTACATCTAAGAGTTATTTACCTTATGTTATACAATTTTTCTAAAATATGCTTATGTATACACACACATATATTTATATATGAGTGTTACATATTATTATACAATATTGTTACATATTACATTTTTAGAAATTTGAAAACATATATAATCAGCAATTGAGTACGTCACTTGTTACGCCAAAATCTCAGTTTGAATATGCCTGGTGCCTTGTCAGGAGTAAATATTCCGCTGATATTAGGAAAGGAATATTGCTCTTAGAAGATCTTTATAGCAATTATGATGATGAAAAGCGTGATTGTTTATATTATTTGGCTATTGGAAGTGCCAGATTGAAGGTAAGCTTCATATATCATAAAGTTGAATGGTCAAAGAACATAGACCATCAAACTCTGCTTCTTTAGCAAGTAGAAAATTACTACGGAATATAAAATTTAGCTTATTGTTTTTTTTCTAAATTTCAGTTTTTCAGTTTACACTGGACTTTATTTTACTTGGTTACATACTTTATTTGTAGAACTTACTTTGATTAATTATCTTTTTTCAGGAATATTCAAAGGCACTGTCGTATGTTCGAGCATTTCTTCACATTGAACCTGGAAATGTCCAAGTACAACAACTAGAGAAAGTAATAAAGAAGAGAATGGAAAAAGGTTTCCCTTTTATAATTTATTATCAGCTTAAAAAAATAAAGGCTACAATTTGTTTAGGAGCAGTATTGCTAAAAAGTTTTTGTGCTATTCTTATGCAGTCGTATTATTTTTGGTTGCTTTTAATAATCTGTTTAGTTTCCTGGGTTGCTAAACTATTTTATGTTAGTCCCACTTAACAATACCTCATGCTCTTGCATTTCTTGCTAATTTAAAGAAATCTCATCACTTTTGGAAGAGTAGCGAATTACATTGCATGTATCTGCAATCTTTGAACTAATTTTTCTTCCATAATCTTAAAAGTTGCTAATGTGTTTTATTCTGTGATGTTTAGTTCCTCAGATTTGTTTTAGTTTGTATATTAAAGCATTACGGTTTTATTTTTTTGTACGTATAAAAATAGAATATTTAATATAGATCAAATAGTTTTGCATATATTCTCGACTCTATTTGCTGCCAAGCATCTGTCTCTTCTTCAACTGTACATATTACATAATAAAAAGTTTGTATCATAATGGCATTAGATATTCCTATTTAATACCATCATGTCGATTAATTGATTTGTGTACAATTAACAAAACTTTCTAATAATTTCTTGCAACTCTGAGAATGCTTCTGAGAGGCTTTTGATAATCATAAACTTTTGTTGAAATTGGCCTTTTGTTTCTTTTTTTTTCCAGAAGGTCTTATGGGTATGGCTGTCGCGACAGGTGTTATTATTGGTATCGCAAGCATTCTGGGCCTGGGCATCGCATTAGCAAAAAAAAATTAAAATTAATAGGGAGAAAAAGCTGTAACTGCTAACATTGCTCTTTGACGGATTCTATCACACAACTATTGCACGAGAAAAGATTAGTATTTTGGACCAAATCCAAAGCATGTAATTAGAAATCCATTTTTATAATTATTTTCTATTATTGTTAAAACATAAAAACTGTTAAGGAAATAACAGGAAGAGAGAACAACTTTTTTAATCATAAGATAACTATATGGTTTGTTTGATTACTTATCGATTGTATTGCGCCCACAAAACGTGGTGTGTTGTGTTAAAAATATCTACAAATAACAAACAAGATTTTATTTTATTTTACTTAATTAATGCATTCCGATGTTTGTTTCCCATCATAACGTCACATTTGAAGATCAACATGATATTACTTGGTTGTTGAGTATTATACGTGTATGTGCGTATGTGCATGCGCATACGCACGTAACACATACAATACTCATATAAGGGATATATATATATATGTGTGTATATATATATATGTGTGTGTGTATATATATATATATTTATTTTATTTACACATTTATAGATAGATATCGAGTTTGTTGAATGAGTTAAGTATTTAAATACCAACACAGGTGATACGTAGATATAGACTTTTGTATATAATACTGTGAAGAAATTCTGTGGATTTTTGTTATTGAATAAAAATCGATATTTAAATATTCGTCCCTTCCTCCCTCTCTCTCTCTTCTCTCTCAAATCTTTTCTCCGTGCGAATTATCATTGTCGTGTATGCGTGCGCAACTCGAAGCTATCCCGGAGCCCTGACGATCCAAGTAAAATCCGTAGTTAAATTATATGGAATGTAGTACGACGGCGCTCTTCGCTTTTCACTTACGATATCGCGCGGAAATGTATTCACGCGGAAAATTGAACCGTGGTTTGATCTGTACTTCGCTACAAGCAAGTTGCTCGGGGCTTTACTGGAAAAACTTTACGGCGCATCTTCGCTCGCGAGATACGCGCACGTGGTGTATGTAACGCAATAAAAAAATCCGATTTCTTTTTGAGAGAAAGCACCGGGGAGGGAGGTAAGGGCGGCCTACTGTTTTCAGGGCGCGTAAAATTTGATCTTCGCATTTGTAATGTTTACCAACTAGGTAGGCATGATCTTCATATTACACGCAAAACCGCATCACGCCCAAGTGTGTAACCGTCTGGATCTCTTCCTGTGTTTACATTGAATGTGATTTCCATATTAGATAAATGAAACTCGGAGAATTAGTTGGTCATATCAACTGTGTTAAATGCATATCGCGCACAGATTTGAATATTGACGCGTTCGGCAACTCCGGCAACAAATGTTGTTTTCGGTGAATAATAACGCGCGTGTGTTTTCGTTTCTTTTTAAAACAAAGCGAGGTTTTTCTCTCTCTCTCTCTCTCTCTCTCTCTCTCTCTCTCTCTCTCCGGGGCTTTCAATTACCGCGCTCGAGAACTTTTTGAGAACTGTTATTTACCACCTGCTAAATGCGGAGGAAAACGTGCGGATGAAAGAAATTACACCAGGGTTTGATTGATATTTTTTTTTTTTATATATAGATTTATTGATGTGACTTCTTAATATCCATTGATAAAGTTGTTTATGTACAAAATAACGCTGGAATATTCCTATTAATATAATTATTATTACTAATATTATTATTAACGACCTATGTGTGTTATGGCCCAGGGGGTTGGGGTTGTATTCTCTTTCGATAGAGAACAACCCTTGCTCTCTCTCTCTCTTTCTCTCTCTCTCTCTCCGCTCGATTCGACGCGCGAGTTAGCGTAATTTGTTGCTTGTTCTTTTTTTCTTTTCACGCTCTCCTGCTCGCCTTCTTTTTACGCTCGTTCATGCCCACGAACGCGACAACAATATTTACACTCGGGCCGATCACTGGATCAGATCGACCTCTCGGCTGGAAAGAGAACGAAAAGAAGGCAGCGGGGGATCAGGGAGATCGTATAATTGTGTCCGCGCGGGGCTTTTATCTTTTTATTGTACATGTTAATGATGAAAACTTCGACAAGTAAGAAGAAAAATTCCAGTATAGGCGATGAATGCGATTTCGTAACGTGGTGTCGTCCTGTACATTCACCCGTGCGTTTAGTCGTTCAATTAATTCGACATTCCAAAACTCTCGTGCGTGCTCTAATAAAATCATATCATTACTTAAAGAAGATCTAATTGCATGCTGTTCAAGTAAAAGTTTGCTCGTTTCGTCCGAGAGAGGTTCGTGTTTGAAAGAAATAAATAAAATATTTAACGTTCGCCATGCGATCACTTAGATTACACGTGTGAGTGCAGCGAATTATTTAGAATTTCACTTAATTCTTAAATAGAAGAATCGCTTTTTTTTCGAATCGATAAAAAAGAAAATCGCATTTAATGCTAAACGCGTGGCGAGAATGCGAGAATCCTCCGAGATTAAAGGGGGATGTTAATTACAACGGACTTCACTGCTTGTGCCCACGGTACAATAACGACATCGCCGACTTTGCGGTTTAGTCTGCGAAACGGCTGATGATCGAACACGTACATATAATATGCGCGAAGTGATAATAATTGCGAAAAACGGCCATCGATTAACTCGCGCATTTCGGGCCGAAAAAAACTTCTTCACGAATTTCAATCATCGCGTTGGTTTTTTTCCACGTAAAGAATCCTTCCGATGATTTCTCGGATCATTTTGCGACGGATAACGCTCGCGTATGAGCAATGCGATTGCTTCAGCAAAAATTTCTCATTGAGTTAGATTAAATTCATCGGAACATTTATTTGTTCTATTCTAATTTGCTTAATGTAGTTTTTGTTTTCAAACAAAAATTGTTTCATTACAGCACACGTCCGCGAGACGGTAAAAGCACGGGTCGAATATGTATACATGTATTATTTACAAGTGAATCCCCTTCAGAAAAATACGGGCCGAAAGTTTAACCATAAGGAGACAAAGAGTGACAGGTACCCGCTGACGACTCTCGCGCGACTTGCGAGTTTAATTTAGTTTTTACTTAGCTCCCGCGCGCGCGCGCGCGCGTACGCTTTACTTCTTTTACGAGGGGAAATGTATTGCGCGCCCTCCTTTTGCCCACATCGCTTCGCGCGGCCGGTTCGCAAACTTTTTCAGTCTCGTAAAGCGCTTTTTACGTCAACGAAATTTCGCGGAGGCTCTTAATGTTTGCGTAAACACGCAGGACTTCGCTCGGTAATTAAACTTGTCCTTCGAATGCAATTCCGCGCCACGTATGTGGTCTAGGAAAGCTGTTGAAGGTGCTGCTTTTTTTTTCTTTGTATTCCCGCTTTAATTCATTCCGGATGATGAGCACGACTGGTAATATTTTTTTTTATTTTTTTTTTTAACTAACTCGCGAATATTTGCGAAAAATACGAGGAAAATCGAAGGAAGGTCTTTAACGCGTACTTCCAACTGAAGAATGTGATCGCAAAATTTTGGAAAGATTCTTCAAACGATTATTCTTTGAACTGCACGTGTGTTTTCAATCATCGCGGGAGGAGGGGCTTTTCCTCCCGTTGCGCAAAATTTTGTGAACCTCCTGTTGATCGCGGAGCGATCCGCGATCTTCAAGTTATTCCCGTTCAACTCGAAGGAGAGACTTGTAAGTTTGTTTTTGTTTTACCTAGAAATAGGAATTAATCGCTCGATAGATTAGCAGCTTGAAAATACTTTAAGCAGTTTAAGGATGAATATTGCTTTCTCAATAAGGCTCCGCTATGCTTTACATGAATGTACAGTGTGCAGTATGTGTGTTGCGCGTTTGTGTGAGTCAGAAAGTGTGTAACAATAAGTGTGTTTGCGCGCGTGTATGTGTGTGTGTGTGTGTGTATGTGTATGTATCGGCTCGTCCGCCGATCAAATCTCGACTTGGAGTTTTCGATAGTATCGTCTTTCGAATCCAAGAGACGCACAGAGACGAGATCGAAGAATCGCTTAAAGATATCGATCGATAGAAAAAGCTTTAAGTTCCGCCATCCTGAAGAAGCGCGAAGTGTATCTTAATAATCTATATATATATATATATATATATGTATATATGCATATATATAGTATATATATATATATATATATACGATCTCTAATGGAATGTGTGTGATCGTCTCTGTGTGATTCATCTGATAAAACTCACAAGTTCGCACAACTTGACTGTGCAAAACTCAGGAGTATAATTATTATATATGTATATGTACACGTATATCACAATTTAAGATTAGGTCGTTCAAATTCGATAATTTATTTATTAACGCGAGAAGGGGAACAACTCCGTGAAAGAAACTCTCTGTGTGTGTGGAAAAAGATCTCAAACAAACATTCAATTAACTTCTCTTTATATAACTCTAATTTCCCTTCAAAAAAACAACAAAAAAAAAAAAAAAAAAAAAAAAACAATATGTGATTAAGTCGATCTCGTGTTAAAATACATGAAAAATATTATTTTACGTACAAATGTGTAAACAAGACGAAACAAAAATACCGATACGTTTTTTTGTAAATAAATAAATATTCTAGTAGAGAAGTGTTTTTTGAACCACAGAGAGGGGATTAAACCACGTCACGTCTCTGCTTTCACACGTTGCTAAGTTCCCGTTATCATGCAAATATCCGGGAATCGCGATCACAATGGCACACAGAGCGCGTATTGATAGTAAGTTTATCGAGGGGTGCCGATAAGCGGCAGTGTTTGCATACTGGCACCTCCGGCAAGAGATTGCATTGCGCGTCGCTAAGTACGCGGAATTCGTCAATCGACGCCCTGTCGTCGCCCGATAACGACGTCGCGAGCTCGCGCGGTCGAATGGCAGAACTCGAGCTTATCTCTCGAACAGCAGAAGGAACTCGGATGAGTCGTGTGTTATGACAGATATGAGACGAGAGGTAAACGCGCGCGTCTTTTGACGCGACGTCGATTGAGGCCAGAGTCACAATGAATTACGCGAGCGGGAGATTTATACAAAGAAATAAAATAAACACGATATCAACTTTACAGAATTCAAGATGTAGCGGTACAACAATTGCGAAGGAAAATTTACAAGAATAGGCGATTGATAGCACAGAGAAAATATGCTCGGTTCCGCTCGTCTCGCATTATTTTTGCCGAGATTCAAAACAGGTATTTCTTTTCTTTCGCGTTTATGTTACATTATAATTTCAATTTTCTATTATTTTATATATATATATATATATATATCTTTGTTCGAAAAACACAAGAGCATTTCTTTTTAGAATTTTAATACACTTCCTTTTCTGCAAAATTTTTTTTACATACATACGTCTGCGAGTCAGACTTATGTAATATTTCTTACGCGTTTCTCCTTTATACATCCCCCATTCGTATATTTCATTGTGTCGTGGGTGCTGTGCAAGCGCGCGTTGCACGCAGTTGATACCAAACGGAAACCAAAGAAAAAAAAACTTTTACAACAATAGGCCTTACGAACTAGCGGCGCGCGCGTTCAAAAGTTTGTACAATAATTTAATTACTCGATTAAATTTATACTCATTCGAACGCTCTCTTCTTCGTCTTCTTCTTCTTCTCTCACGTTTTCTCGCTCTTGTTACCTTTGTCTCTTCTCTCACGTCTTTTCGAAATGCGAAATCGACTGACTAGCGATACAATAATGTTACATTAGTTTTTTTGTTTTAGTACGACAGTCATATTGTAAAATATACACTTCTCGCCGTCCCGCATCTATCGCGACAGCTTGTTTTTTTTTGTTTTTTTTTTGTTTTAATATTCTCTTCTCTGTTCGTGAACTAACTACGATACTTGAACCCCGACATTTACAATGCACATTTTTAATTACAAATATACTACTTAAAATTTATCCAACTGCTCTCTCTTTTTCTCTCTCTCTCTCTCTCTCTCTCTCTCTCTCTCTCTTTTGCTTCGAAATAATCGTGTGATTAACCAGATAATTTTTAAACCCGGTCAATCTCAGAGGAAAGAATCTCCCTCGGATCGATTGTAATTGTGCGAGAAAATATTGCACAAATGACTGTTTTTAAAACTCAAGCGCCGTTTGCACACTGTTTCCTACGCTGTTGTTTTTGTTTTAACTTTTGACACAATATCGTAATACAGATATTTGGCAGGAATGAAGTAGAAAAACGAAGAAAAAAAAAAATAGAAAAGTTTTAGAAAAAATTAAGCTTTGATAAGTTTGCAACTCTCTTAGTTTTTTTTGTTTTTGTTTTGCTAGCGTTGCTATTTTTGTTTTGGGATGTTTGAAATATGTCAAAAGTTATAATGTTTAATTATCTTTTATACTGTTTGTGTGTAAAATTACAAAAAAAAGAGAAAAAGAGAGAGAGTGAGTGAGTGAGTGAGAGAGAGAGAGAGAGAAACATTTTTCATTGAAATGACGACATGGAAATAAACGTGTCGTGAAAGATATACATATAAAATGTAATTTTCTTACTTGTACATCGCCACGCGACATTCACCTCTTTTGCCGAGAAGAGTATGTATTTACAAAGTTTTTCAAATATTTACAGCAAATAATTGCAAGTTCACTTTAACAATATATTATTCCGAATAACGATTGGAGGGGAGACAAACAATTCAAAATTTTTTTTCATATCATTGTGTGACTCTCTTTTACAAAAATTCCTACAAACGTTTGCTTGTTTTTTTTTGTTTTTTGTTTTATTTTGTTCACGCTGCAAGTGGAAAGGCAACGGTGGTGTGGTGATGTGAGCACCGCAGTTAGGTATGTTTCTGTAACTGAGTCATTTTCCTTTCCTCTTTTTCTTGTTTTCTTTTTTTTTTTTTTTTAGAAGCGCATTGCTACACGGAATGTTTCGGAAATTATTGAGTATTCAAAAATCATCGACGTATAAAAATATACGTGAACACAGATTTCGATCGTGCACAGACGCTGCGTGCGATATCGGAAACTTAATTAAAATTATATACGAGAAAATTTCTAAATATAAAAATTCAATCCTCGGCGTGCGAATTTCGCTTTGATACGAAAATAGATTTTATATATTTGTTTTTTTTTTATAATTGATCGGGTGATAAATTGCGATGTCCAACAATGTACGCGTTTTAAACTCATCTCGAAGAAAAATGAGCAAAATACCTCGAGAAAAAACCTCACACAATTCGCTTTCTTATCTCCGGACAGATATAGAATTTGCGTCGTTGTTTAAACAATAAAAGTTTCCGATGCCGAAATAGCGTCAATGGAGCGAAAAGGGTTTTTTTTTATTTTTACGCGAGCGAGGATAAAGCGTCCTTGAGACATGTGCAAACGCATCGATGGGAAGAGAAGAGAGGATTCTACGCGGGTATGTACCTAAAAATAGAGCTGCAATATATCTTCCTTCGGCAGTGGAGTGAGCGACGGTTACTCCATTATCGATAGTAACTTTCACTCGACATGTTCGTTCTTTCGCCATTCGATGCATCCGTAATTTACCTCCAATAAATCATACTCAGAATCCCACACTCCTGTATCCATCGTGGCAGTGTTTTGTTTGTGGCAATGTTTGTTCTCTCTGTTTTTACACAATGTATATATGTGTAATGATTTGTTTTTTTTTGTTTTTTTTTTTTACAAAAATAAAATGTTTATTTTCTTTCTCAAGAGAAAAAATCGATATACGCAAATTTGATCGTCGGTCAAAGAGTTGAAAAAGTAATCGGCGGAAGTAATCGCGATATTTCTGAAATAGCTCTCGAGTGCAAATCAACACGCGCGCACACACACACACACACACATACGCGCGCGCGCACATGTCTGCAAATACTTAAACGTACTCAATTTCCGTCCGATTTCCGACGTGTCGAGGAGTTAGCGCTCCTGGCCTAATCTTCGGAACCCGTTGCAGATTCTACCGGAGCTGAAATTCCGCTATTCTCTCCACGCCCAGCGGCAAGCGAGAGAGCGGAGCCTCCGTGCCGCCGGAGTCGATTCAAGGTGCAGTCACCTTTCTCGAGCCGGGTGACCGTGGAATTCCACTGGGTACACTCGGGCGGAAAAATAATCTCGTTCCGTAAAGTACATCTTCGCCCGTACACCTCGCTTCTCGTTTTCTTCCCTTCCTCTCTTTCGTTCTCTCCTCGCGCTCCTTTCCTACCGCAGCCATTACGTCGGTCGAGAGAGCTAACTTAAACCCGGCCGCACCCCGTGCATTTTAATGCGGTCGCGATTTATCAGGGCCGCGGGATTTTCGATGCGCGCCGCGCAACGGTCGTAGAAAATTGCCTCGTGTGTGATATCGAGAGTAAAAGTGATCCCGAAGTTGTGCCCTACATTGCGTGTTTTCACCGCTTATTTAATAGCGATTGTGGATGTAGATTGAAAAATATGTACGCACACATTGCGAGAGCTTACAGCGAAAACTTTCCTCGGAACGGATTAACAAAATGATCCGACGTAGATGAAATTGCTTACAATAATTGAAAAAAACAAAGAGAGATGGTTTTTATCTTTCGGAAAGAGATCGACATTTCGATCGGCTCAAGGACGCTCATCCTCCGGGGAACAAAGGGAAACGAAGAACGCTCGGAAACCAGCGCGGTTATCCAACAACGGCGCGTAAACTTTGTCAAAACGGGAAGGGGAGAGTTTAAATCCCTAACGATCTTACACACGTATCGATCAGGAAAAGAAACGGTCGTACTTACATCGCTGACTCGAGCGCGATATCAAATCTTTTCTTTTCTTTTTTCTTTCTTTTTGATAGTTTCTCCATTCGATCTCACCGCGATCGAGGGGAGAATCGTATCGCACTCAGATACCCACTTACCGATTTGCTTTCTCTTTTCCCATTGATAACCAGGTATCCGGCGACGCAATTTAAAATTAAATTTCTTAAAATCCCACCTCTCTCGAGGTGCTCGTTCTGCATCGAACGATGATGTCAGAAGCGAGAGAAGTGACTTCTCGCTCCTCGCGTCATAATTCAAGCCTCGTGTAACGAACGCCTGGGAGAGCGTGTCTTGAAGTTACAATAGTCGAGGACGCGTGACACTAGCTCAACTATACCGTCTCCGTCGTGCCTCTGTACACATTGGTGTTTTTTTGTTTTATTTAGAAAATAATTCGACCGTTTAGAATATATATATATATATATATAATTTATGTATATATATATATACTTTTTTTTATTTATATATATATTTGTATATATGTATATTTATAGCTGCAGTCCTACGTTATAGTTACGCCATCGTCTCTCACGCTTATGATACACGTCTTCGCTTTGCGAGCATGCAAATGTGTCCGCTTCGAAATGAAACGCTGTCGAGACACTTCGTCAAATCTCTCGGAAAGAGAGACTCTTCTCTGGAAAAGAAACTCTCGGCATAGACCGATGCGCTATCGAACTTTAGCTTCGATCGAGCTCGGCACGATCTTCAAGTGGTCAACCGCGTACGTAAGCATTTCTACGCGCACGGGTGTATCACATGGGACAACAAGCTTTTCTCCGTCGTCCGTCATTTCCGTTGGAGAATTGTGCGGACTCACTGTTTTCCCATGGATTATTGCGCTCCTGAGGGATTTCCGTTTGGCATCGCTCACATCCCCGACAATGCTGATCTTGCGGTCGTCAGTGATAAGTCGGAGAAAAATCCTGGTAAAAGTTATTCCCATTCTCTCTCTCTCTCTCTCTCTCTCTCTATCCCTTCCTCCCTCCCTCCCTCCCTCTCTTTCTCTCTTCTCTGGGATTCAAGAGACGAAGACTCCCCACAGTGACGTGGAAGATATTAACCCTCGAGCAATCGCGCAAGAAAGTGGACTCACTAAGGATCATCCGGAGCTGAGGAACGATGTAATTTTTTCTTGGTCTTTCGGTAACGCCTTTCATGTGTATACAACAACACGTCACTGATCTATATAATCGTCGATTCGCGATACCGACGTATAAAGAGTGTGACTGTGATACTACAGCGATATGGCGAGTTTTTGGTCACGTTCTTCGTGATATATTCTTCGTCTCTTCAGTCTTCTTTTCTATCGTCTTATTCTTTTGCGACAGGAACTTCAAATTTCCTCCCAATTGTTCCAGCCGGAACTGATTAGTTTCGTTACTTCCTTGAATTATTCTTTTCTGCGGATTTAATTCTCCGTGAAAGAGAACGCGATTATCCGTCCGAGCCTTTTCCCGGATGTGTAACGCGTCTGTGATTTAGTTGGCGCTCGTCTACGCTCGGTACGTCCCCAAGTCGAGGGTGTTGCGCAGCTCCATCTCGAGATGAGCTTCTCTGTGCTTCTCGGACCGGTGCGACGATATCGGTGGCGGCGGCGGCGGCGGCGGCGCGCCGCTATCTCGTTCACGATTCCGCTCGCGAGTGGACGATCTGTCCTTGTCACGCTCTCTCGTGTGGTGATGATAGTGATGAGTAGCGTGGCCGTTAACCAGAGTGGGATACGCGGATTGACCGCAGCTGAGCTGATGCCTGGAGGGTAGCGGCGGCGGCGACGGCTGATGGCGACCAACCGGAGCTCCGTTCTGGAGACCAGATTCAAGAGTCCGCATTCGATCGTCCGGTTCTCTGGCGGAGAGCTGCGGTTGCGAGTGAGGCGTTCGACGAAGAGAATGACTGGAGTAATGGGATCTCTCACCGTTGGATGCGACCCTGTCGATCGGCGCGGCGCTCAGTGACGCCGTGCTGTCGTCCGCGACGCTTCTACCTCCTCCGCCTCCCGTTCCGCCGCTTCCTCCACGATGACCGGATGCAATATTCGCGACGGGCAACGTCCCCGGGCGGCGCATCTGGCGTGCCGTCTCGCCATCGATGTAAGTAAAGCCCTCGGCGAGAGTGGTACTGCCGTGAGGCAGATACCAGACTCCGCCGGTCCCGGGGCTCGCCGCCCGAAGTTCTAGCTACAGTTCCGTCACCGGTATCGGTTTGACGGACGCGACCTGAGAGTGTTGCTGTTGCTGCTGCTGAAGATGATGATGATGGTGCGGAGGCACCGGTTGAGACTGTGACGGATGATGATGATGGTGGTGATGAGCGTGCGCCGAACGAACGATATATTCGTCGTCGGAAAAGGTCTTTTGGTATTCGTGCTCTTTGCGCGATATCGCGCGATTCTTCCACTTGTAGTCTTTTAACGCGTCTCGTACGCGTCTGCGGCAGCGATAGTACAGAATCAGAGATATGGTGGCGAAAACCAGAATGGTGACGCAAATTGTTGCCATCAAGATCGTCTTGTACGGATCCGAGAAAGTGCAGCCCAGATCGTCAGCTGTCATGCTCTTGATGGGTTTACCCTTGGATTCAGGCGGTTCGGCGCATATCACAGGACTCGAGTTTCTCGGTACCAAAACCTCGACCAGCCAGAGTTGACTACAGTCGCAGATCAAGGGATTCTCGCTGAGATCGAGTCGGCGCAATTCGTTCCAGGCGACCAGCGACTCAGAGAACGTAACGAATGCGTTATCGCGCAACATTAGATGTCTCAAATTCGGTAAACCGGCGAGAGAACCGTCCTCCATGGTGGTCAAGCGTTTGTTGTTGTTTAACACAATGGTCTCAAGATTGGCGTTGTCCGAAAAAGCGCCCTTTTCAACTGTAGTCAGCAATTTGGCACCGGATACGTCGAGTTTCTTCAATGTCAACAGACCTTGAAAAGCGCCCGACCGCAGGATCGTGAAGAAGTTCTGGCCAAGAGTGAGCTCCTCCAGACGCGGCAACACAGCCAATTGCTTTGTCGGAACTTCGCGAAGCTTGTTGGCATTTAATTTCAGAGTACGAAGAGCGTTTAGACCGCGAAATGCTCCGTCGCTGATGTTGTCCAGTCCGGCGCCCATGATGTCCAACACCGCTAATTGCTCGAGACCTTTAAAGGCGTCATCCGGCAGTGAGGTGAAGGCGTTCCAGCCGATGTGCAGCTCGGCGAGGGCGTTCAACGGCGCCAGAGCTTGCGACGGGACAGTTTGCAGCTGGTTGTCGTCCAGATACAGCACGCGGAGGGTGCCTAACTTCTGAAACGCGCCCGGTTCAACTTTTAATATGCGATTCTGACCAAGATCGAGCTCCTCGAGTTTCGACAGGCACGCAAACAGACCGCTCTTCAGCATCTCGAGATAATTGTCTCGTAAATTCAGCACCGTGAGAGACTTGAGACCTTGAAACGTCTTCTCGGTCAGCGCCGAGATCTTGTTGTGCTTGAGATGGAGCTCGACCAAATGTCGCTGCGCGTCGAAACTGCCGTTAGGTATGGTGAACAGGTGGTTGCTGGAGAGATCGACATTCTTCAGATCGCCATAAAATTGAAAAGCCGCCGCGTCTACGATCTTAATGCGATTTTCCTTCAGCACTATCCGCTGAATGCTGGGATTAAGCGCGATCGGTATGACATCCAGATTGGCGCCCACGCAGGAGACCACCAGAGTGTCGTCGTCGCAGGTACAGCCGTTAGGACAGAAAGTTCGCGCCTCGGCCGTGCTGAGAGCGAAAAGGCCAACCAGAACGAGCAGATGGAGGACGCTGGTGACGGTAAAACTCCGCCGCGACGTCTGAAAAAGATAAAGAAGAAAAGTCATCGATTAGTTGTGTACGGTAAGGAAAATTATTTTTACATACTATCAGTAACAATCGAAATGAAAGAGACGAATCATGCGTTGTGATTATTCTTCAATTAATTTGCTTGTTCCGAAGATGTGCTTCACCGTCGGAAGGTGCGAGGAAACACTCGATTCCAAATTCTACGCGCGGAGAGAGGCGTTATCGACAGTCGTCTCGGGAAATCGATACCTTGCGCACACCGCGCCCAATTTACGCCGGTTTTTACGACAAGAGAGCGTTGAAATATTTTCCGCGGAGTTCACCGCCCATGGTCGAAGAGCGCAGCAACGCGCTCGTTCATTCTTCTCTCTCTCTCTCTCTCTCTTTCTCTCTCTTTCATACACACACTCACTCGTAACGCGAGGGAAGTTATTTCCGCTTTCCGCGGGCGTGCGATCGCGCACGTAGGTGCGAAATTAAGCCTGCCGCGCGCAGCTGAAACACGCGTCGGGTTAAATTATATCCGGAAATACGAGCTCCCGCGGCTGTTACGCGGATAATAAGCTCTCGGGGCGTAAAAACTTCTATTCGAGATGGAAACGCCCGGCGCAACGCCCGCTCGTAGTCCGGGACGAGTCCGAGTGCCCGCGGTCCAAGTACGCCGTAAAACCTAAACGAGATGGCTGATCTCCGAAACGGTCGAAGACTCCAGACATCTCGAACGAGATAAATGCGAACGGGACGCTTATTGGGCACAGCGAGCGAAAACTTTTCGATATCGATCCGAACGATCCTTCCTACGCGAGAGACACCACGTGAATCAATTGACCCGAAAAAAAGAAAAAAAAAAATCTCATTCCAGATTTTCGCAAACTGTCAGATATGGACCGTGTAATTTTCGTCGAGACACTTTGCGCGCATTGAGACGCGCGTATCAACGTTTTCGTTTGCGAACAGATATCAATTCCGGACTGACGAGAAATCTAAACACGCGACGCGCGACGATCGATCGCGCGCGGGATGTGTGACAGTCGCTAGAAAATATCGAGAATATTAACGGTGTTTTAAAACAAAACAAAACAAAACAAAAAAAAAAAAAAAGAATTCGCGTGATTTACGTATATACGGAAGGATTTGCATATATCGAGAGCTCGGCGCGCTTCGCTACGTCGAGCTGCTGCACTGTCACATTGATGCACTTCCGTATGCTCATATTAAGCCGCGCGTACACAACGTGTAGATACTCGATATCACGTCGATATATCACGTTTCAACATGTGACAGGCAACCGAGACCTCAAAAACTAAAGAAATACGCTCACTTCATCTCTCTGGGCGACTCTCCGGCCAAAACCAACTAAGGATTACGGAAAGATCGTAAAACGAAAATATATAGAATTTCGAAACTAGAAAAATGGAACAGGTTTCAAATATCTCTGTTTTTCGAGCAGCTTCGGACGAATCCGCTGCGAAATGCGGTGCTTCTCTCTTTTCGCACGCGTCATACATGCGCGCGCTTGAGCGCACGGGCTAATCCGTCGCGCGACGCAAAATACGCGAGACGTGAAATACACGAAAACACACGCCCGGGGATATATATATACACATGTTCGTCGGTTGTGTGCGTCTCGTATCGCTACGTGTGTCAAATGCGCGTATTAAAGCGCTAAAAATGGCCGCGTCATTAGGAAAGGATTATTCGCGATCCCCGCGCGAATACCGAACTTCCTCGCGCGCGCCCTCCACGCGCGTCTGACCCCATTACTCATTTCTCCATTTCATCCGCATTACGCGGCATTACGAGATCCGGCTGTTATTTAATGAGTTTAGGTCAGATTGACTTGCCGCTCTCTCTCTCTCGCGCGCGCGCTTAATATAATAATAATCGTTTATCTTCTTTATTGTTAATACTGTTAACTTAAGTGTTTATATATACCGGGGAGAAAGAATTAAACGCCATTACGCTACTATTCTTGACGAGTTGTTAAAGCAAGAAAAAAAATCTCCGTTTTTTTCTCACTCCTCTAAATTAAGACGAAGTTAATAAAATGTGTAATTACTCTTTTTTTTTTTTTTTTTTTTTTTTTTCAAATTAATTTCTTGTAACACCGTAAATTCACATTGTGAATGATAATGCGCTCGGTTCCACATTTTTTATTATTACTTTTAGCTAATTATATTTTCATGTAATTTTTTCTCCGTGTGTATATGTGTGTGTGTGTATGTGTGTGTTTTTATTTGCGCCAAAAGACCTTTTCACAGAACACAATAAATTTTTCTGTCCGTCCGCCACCACGCGCTTCCTACATTACATATTCTTTATTTTACTTCAGAGTCCGCTTCTCGTCCGTTACTATAAATCATCACGGCTTTTTTATAGTCTGTTTTTTTTGTTTTGTTTTGTTTTGTTTTGGTTTTTGTTCAGATTTTCTCTCGTATTCTGTCCAATTTGATTTTTCACTTCTCAATTATTTTACAACTACATGTAGAGTATCTCGAATTTCTCTCTGACGCGTTAGCGCGTATAAATATTATATTCTTCGCGCACATTATTTCGTCACCACCGACGGCAATAAAACATAAATCTGTCAATTTATTCATTTTCTCGGATTTATTTTTCTCGAATTCGAACTACTTTCTCGTTATTTCTATTCTGTTACGTTTAAACTTCTCTCTCGCTCTATCGCTCTCGAACTTTTCGTTAAACTTATCGGCGAACTGTAATAAATGCATAACGTCATGAGAACCGACAAGTTTAGACGCGGCCTGCGCCTCGGTATTATTTATGCAGCGCGCTCGGCAGCGAGGTCGCTTCTGGCAGCTGGAGAGCGACGCGACTCATCGGCGTGCACGAGGCGCGAATTACGTATGCGACAGCGTGCGGTTGGAATCGGAATGCCGGTGTCCGATTCAGACGTCATCGTCTGCTGCGGAGACAACCGGGGAGAAATTAATAGAGCAACGTGTAATAACCGCCGGGGATAATCATGCCGGTCGGCTTTACGTCATGCCGTCGTTTCGCGCGCGCGAATTTCGCGGATGAAAACTTTCGCGATCATTTCAGTTTTTTTTCTTTTTTTTTTTTCACGCTATCGAGGTAAGCGTCCCAGTGACCGAACAAGTACTACTACCGAATGTTCATTAAAGAAATGATTACGCAATATTTACATATGGAAAGAAACTGAAAACATGTCTTAAACAAATATTGAAAATATTGACAATATGTTAAATATATTTTTTTCTTTAACATTCACACACATCTGTAATAATTATTTCAGCAAATGTTCGATCATTAAAACATTTATGCGTTACATATTTTGCACTTCGAATCAAACATTTAATACCTTCTTGTGAAAATCTTACCTCGATGTATGAATTAAAAAATTGCGTTTAAACGCTCTTTGTGCTCTAGTTATATTTTTATTCTTCAGATGGAGAAAGAGAGAAAGAATTTCATAAAATTTATTGTTGTGCCGATAACACAAGGTAACGAAGTGTGTATACGGTCGTCGATAAAACAAGTGTTGCGTGTGCAAACGCAGACGCTCTTGTTCATCTCGCCCGGGAATGGTTTGCGCTTCTCGAAAAGTGAAATATTTTTCCTTCAAACGGATTATCCGGCTGGAGAATTTCGTTAAAAGTCGTCAGGTCGGTCGGTTTTACGTCGGCGTCACTCGAGCTGTAATCAACGCACCGAAAGAGGAGGCCGGGGTCGCGGCAAGCGTGCTCATAACGCGCTTATAAACGCAGTTAATTATCATCATACTGTAATCAGCCCCGGGTATGTGGCAAAACCATCAACCACCGCGCGTGTGCAAAACTCAACCGTTTCGCCCGTTAAGCCTCTTCTCGCCCTTCTTTTTCCTATCCTCGAAATATCGTTCGGAGATTTTATTCGAGCGTGCCATTTTCCGAAAAGCGAGATTTACATTTATTCGTCCCGTTTTATACACGTAACGCTTTCGCGCTCGCCAGGCAGATTTACATTTATTTATACGAATGTTTACGGCAGAGTTTCAACCTATTTTCTCTCTCGCTCTCTTGTCCTTTCTCTCTCTCTCTCTCTCCATCTCTGTCGTTATTCATTCTTTTTGTTTTTTGTTTTGGTTTTTTTTCACGCTACTCGCCACTACAGAAATGCGAATTATACAGGTTCTCGAACGAAACACCTGATCGGTATCATCGCGTATCACGACAATTTTTTTTTTTTTTTTTTTTTTTTTTTTCCATAACAAAACTTCCGCCGCTGTCGCTGCTGCTGCAGCAGCAGCAACACGAGCAAAACGTAGTCGGCAACATATCCGCGCGACGTAAAATTGTTTATTTTCGAAGATACGTTCTCTCGAGTCTTTTGAGCAAAAATATTCATTCGTTGGATTTTATCCTCGTCAGCATCGGAAATATTGTCGTGCGTATATACATGCGGCGCAAAATTGACCAGTTGCATTTCAACATTTTTATTGTAGGTCTCACACTCATTAGCTAAATATATTAAAAGCATTTCAATTTTTTGTGTTTACATCGCATATATACACATCGGTACGTATTCTGTATTACATTTGCCGTATTCTATTTGCGAAATAATATATAATAAATTAATAAAAAAAAAAAAAAAAAAAAAAATAAAAAAAAATACATGTGTGTTTTCAAGCTAGAGATCGCCGAGAGAATTATCAACGTTGTTTGTACTTTATACGCTGTCGTTTATGACGATAAACCGTGTAAATTTTTTTTTTTTTTTTCCGATAGCCAAAACGCGCCACGAGAGCAACTCGCGTCAGTCACGCGACCNACGCGTATTTAATGTTGAATTTACGCGTGTAATTTTTTCTGTTTTTTTTTTTATTCGTTCGCGTCAATCATCATCGAAAAATTGAAACAAATATCGAATATAATTTTCCAATCCGCGTGATTTCCGTTGCGCGCGCGCGGGACGTAAAATATGCGAATTGAATTGGAATCGCTGGGTCGAAGAGGGTTAATCGTTACCGGATAACCGGCACGGCAGAATA